AAGGAGTGGCATTAAAGAGGGAAAAATAAAGGAGTAACAGCATCAACAACAATAAAACTTCTATGATGTTTTTCCAAGCAGAAAGAAGGAAACAAGGTGGGGGGAGAGTTTGTTTTTACTCAGATGTACTTTTTTTCCTGAGATCATTATAATCTTCTGGTTATTTTATATTACTTTGGACAAAAATATACAAATTATAGGGAGATATAAACTGGGATCCAGAAAAGTGACAAATGTAATTAAAATAATATAAAATCAAGTTACTAAGGAAAGGTTAAAGGAAGGAAAGCTATTTACCCTGGAAAAGAGAAATGCTTTCTATGCATTTAGTTATGAAAAGAATGTTGACCTCACAGTTCCTGTGGGTGACTAAAAAAAGGAAATCTATTTCAAGCTCAGCATTAAAGACACTTTGAGTTTGATGAAATTCTAGAAGAAGTCAATAAAGAAGGTTTTAGAATTACTTCTAGGGTTTTTAAAAAGGACAGTATTTCTTGGAGGCAGGAGACTGAGTCAGGTGTTCTTGTTAGGGATCTTGACCTCTCTGTTTTTTCATTATCTCTTAATGTACCTTTGACTCTTAGACTTTTTTTTTTTAACATTGTTCTCCCAATTCAGCTTTCTGGACTTCCATTAACTTTGGTGCTACTTGATCCGTGAAGTATGTTTTATTTTAGTCAGTATATTTAGTATATTTTAGTCAGTTTTCTGGAAGCAAAATTGTTTTTCCTTCCCTGAGGAAATAGTAACAAGAGGAAGTGTTTATATAGTTTTTTGAGCAGCCAGGGTGGGTCTGGAGTCAGGAAGACCTGAGTTTAAATGTGGCCTCAGACACTAGCTGTGTGACCCTGGGCAAATCACTTAACCCTGTTTGCCTCAGCTTCCTCATCTGTAAAATGAGCTGGAGAAGGAAATGGCAAACCACTCTAGTATCTCTGCCAAGAAAACCTCAAATGGAGTCACAGAGTCAGACACATCTGAAAACCGCCTTAACAACAAGAAACAACAACAAATATAATGCTTTAAGGTTTGCAAAGGACTTTATAAAAATCTTCTTTCGTTCTCATGACAATCTTAGGTGGCAGGTGCTATTGTTATCCCCATTTTACAGATGGTGAAACAGTCTGACTGGAGGTTAAATAACTTAGCCAGGGTCACACAGATAGTATCTAAGGAAGGATTTGAACTCAGATCTTCCTCACTCCATTCCAACACTTCATACACTATTCCACCTCACTGCTCATTCAGAATTCATTTCAAGTATCCCTTTAAAGCATACAACGTACAACTATCATGTCTAATTTATAGATAAAGAAGCAGAAGTTATGAGGTTTTTCCAAAGGTCACACAGAAGTGACTTCCATTACTGTGATATATTGAGAATAGTCTAATATTTCCTGATATTGCCATTGCCTGGGATTATATTCCTGGAAGCGTGGATGGAAAACTTCTCTCTCTTCTTTTCCTTTTTATTCCACCCACTGGCTTTTTCTCCACCCCCTTGTACTTATCCATGATTGATTGGCTTCCTTAGCATGAAGGGTTTTGAAAGACTAGCTTAGGGATGGGGAACCTGGAGCCTCCAGGGCATGTGTGGCCCTGTAGGTCCTCAAGTGCAGGCCTTTGACTGAATCCACACTTCACAGAACAAATTCCCCTAGATAAAAGGATTTGTTCTGTGAAACTTGGACTTAGTCAAAAGGCCGCACCCAAGGACCTAGAAGGCCACCTGTGGCCTGGAGGCCCCAGGTTCCCCATCCCTAAACTAGCTTGTTTTGATTGAGGATGATTTCAGAAAAACCTGGGAAGACTTATATGAACTAATGCAAAATGAAGTGAGCAGAACCAGGAGAACATTGTACAAAGCTATAACAATATTGTAGTGATGAATTTGAAAAACTTAACTACACTGATCAATACAGTGATCCAAGACAGTTCTGAAGGACCTATGATGAAAAATGTGGTCCACCTCCAGAGAAAAAATTGATAAACTCTGAGTGCAAATTGAAGAATAATTTTTTCACTTTATTTTTCCTGCTTTTTTTCAACTTGACTAATACAGATGTATGTTTTGCATGATTTCACATGTATAATTGATAATCATAATTGCTTGCCATCTCAGGCAGTGAGGTGGTGTGGTGGATAGAGTGCTGGGCTCAAATCAGGAAGACTCATCTTCAAATCCGATCTCAGACATTTATTTACTAGTTTGTTACCCTGGGCAAGTCACTTAACCCTGTTGGCTCAGTTCATCATCTGTAAAATAAACTGGAAAAGGAAATAGCAAACTACTCCAGTATCTTTACCAAGAAAACCCCAAATAAGGTAACAAAGAGTTAGACACAATTGAAAAATGACTGAACAACAAAAATTTGCCTTCTCAATCACTGGAGTAGGGGTGAAAGGGAAAGAGAGAATTTAGAACCCAGAATTTTAAGAAAGTGTTAGAAATATTTTTAAAATAAAAGAATAAAAAGAAGGACTATCTTTGCTTTTCTTGTATTCCTAGTGCTTAGCACAGTGCCTGGCATATCGTAAGTGCTTAATAAATGCTTGTTGACTGACTAGAAAAAAATCAGAGTTCTCCCTACCCCCCATCTTGTGCCCAATGCTAGTTAAAAAGAAATAATTTTATCAACAAATGTAGTTATTTGAGCAATGTGTACTTCTTCATGGGTCACTTTGGCATTTTCAAAGGGAAATGTGTCACCAGAAGACTACCACTGCTGAAAAACAATCAGGAAACCCTGTAGTTGCAGAACAGTTTTGTGGCTTTTTTCAGAGAATGCATTTCTGAACACAGTCTATATTCTGAACAGTTTTTACAAGACTAACAGACTTAAACTAATTTGGTGAAATTTGTTAATGAATCAAGTGTTCTCAAATTCAAGTAGGGTCCTGGGATCACAGTTAGAGCTGGAAAATGCCTTAAAGGTCATCTAGTCCACCCTATTCATTTTACGGTGTAGGAAACTGAGGTCCAGATAGATGACTTGTCCAAGGTCACACAAGTGACAGTGCAAGTAAGTGGCAGATGCAAACTCTGACTCCAAATCTAACATTTTTTTCTACTGTACCATACTGACTTTCAAAGTTAAAAAAAAAAAAAGCTTGATTTATGTCAGTTAATCCACAAGCATTTATTAAATCCCTGTTATGGACTGGGTGCTGTCCAAGGTGCTGAGGATACAAAGGCACCTCCCCCCAGCTCCCCCTAAAAAACTCAACCCAAAAACCCAACCTATTCTGGCCTCAGGGAACTGTTGCTTCCATAAAATAAAATTCCTGATGATTAAAATGTCACTGTCTTAGAGCCTTCAAGGATATTATACATTTAGCTCATAATAGAACACAAGCTAATATGTGGAAAGACAACCTTTTTTTCCTTCATCTAATTCTTTTATCTTTTGATATCTTCAGTCAAAGAGCATTCTGCAATGAAATTGCAGTGTTTTGTTTCTAGGAAATTATAGAATTCTCCCTGAGGAATTAGAGTTGTCTTCATGAGTGTTACCTGACCAATTCACCCTAAGAACCAGGGAGTGCCTTCCCTCCCTTAGAATACAAAATGTTGCTAGAAAAATTTTTCATAGAAGTTGCTCCATTGGGCCTGCATTATGTATACATTTCAGCACTTGGATGGATCTGTGATCTAATCACAGAGTGAGTGTACCTTAGGCACTATATAAGAATAACAATTTATTGTTCCTTATGCCTAGAATTCTGTTTAAAGTAAAATATTAAGGAGAACTTGGAGCAAATTATTCCCAGGTGGTGTTATTTCAGTAGAAATGTCATCTTTTTCCAGATGACATCAAATACTTCATAAGCACTGGAGTAACCTACTCCTCCCCATCCCCCTTGGGGTTTTTCTCTCAATATCTAGAAATATTCAGAGGAAACTGCTCTTTCATACTCCAGGAACAAATTGAATGTGAGTGAGATCAAAAAGTGGGAGCAAATGGAAAAATGGGTCCCTGTGGGCCATTGTTTTAGTGATGTGGGAGCTAGAGATAAGGTTTTAATGCTACTGAGTAATCAAATGACACTATTTGCAGTAGCAGAGATTTATCCCTTACCCCTTCCTCCAGAAATCAAGGAAATCTCTAGGACAAAATGGCTTTAGTCTTTGACCAAATGGTTAATTTTGCAGAAAATCAGGACTTGAAGGACATACAGCAAGACTTGTTTCAAGCTATCATTATGAGAATCACACAGGGTTCTGAGAAACTGGGGACAGTAATATCATAATCATGCCATGGGGCTAGAGTCGATGAGACTAGTGCCACCATGGAATGTAGGTGAAAACCTCCAGTTACTTATCTCTCATTTCCTCCTTTCTTCAAGGTATAACTGTGGTGTCATCTTCTATGGGAAGCCTTTCTTCATTCTCCTAGTTATAAGTTGCCTGTCCTTACTTTATCTTTTATTTGTTTATTTATCTGTTTACATGTTGCTCTATAAACCACTCCCACTCTCCCCAGTAGAATGTAAGCTTCTTGAGGACAGGACCTGCTTTTTATTTTCATCTTTGTATCTCCAGCACCTAGCACAGAGACTTGCCATGCGGTAGGTGCTATTAAATGTTTCATTGAGCTGCATTTGTCAATATCATTAATCATCCTGTGAACTATATCTTTGAGGAACCACAAAGTGCATTATATGTGTCCCATTGGTCTGAAACTTTTTAATCCTAGTGGGGATGTCCATCTAGTAGGTCTTATGATATAAAGTAAAGAAATTTAAGGGCTTCTAGGAAATTTTCCCCTGTTGTTGAAGGACTGTAGAGATAAAATGAATAAACACTATTCTATAATTACCATATATATGTGTGTGTGTGTGTGTGTACACATATATATGTACATATACACACATATGTATATCTTTGTGGTACTATAAATGTAAAATTAGGTGATTGATGAGGAAAATTGAAATCTGTATCTGGGTTGCATTCAGTGTACCTACAGGAAAACACAATGTCTATTCTTTATCTTTTTCAGATTCATAGCCAAACCATGTGCCTTAGGGCTTAATATCCAGGCCAATGGACCACAGAAAGCCCAGCCTAATGCCATTCTGGAAAAGGTCTTCACTGCAATTACCAAGGTATGATATTCACTTATGGTGTTAGCTGTCACAATTACCAAATCAATCAGTCTAGACAAATATGTTGTCCAGAAGCATTGTTTAAATTGGCAAAATATAAATTGGCAGAGGAGAATTAATGCTTAGACCACAAAGGGTAGAAAAGCAACAAGTGTGTGAAGGGTTAGGAGCCTGTTAGTTCATCCTCAGAGTATAGGAAAACCAATCTGTTCACTCATCCCTGAATAATCCTTCTGCTTTGTCAGTGATGAGTCATATTCTGTTCCTCTTTTTATTTCACATGACATCTAGGAAGAGGTATGAAGCCTGTGTTGTTAATTTTGGGAGGGGTAGAGGCACTAGCAACTTAGAGGATCAGAAAACAAATAAAATTCAAGAAGGATCTTTCTAAGAACAAATGAGAAAGGGAGCTTGAAGAACTCAATACTGCTAAGGGAAAAAAAAAACCCAAGACAGAGAAGGTCCTTAGGAACTACCTACAGTAGATGTACTAGTCATATATAAGTAGAGAGGAATTGAGGATTCACAATATCTCATAGCTGGAGGTGATCTCAGAGGCCATCTGAGGCAACCCATGCCTGAGACAGAATCCCTCCTAAAATGTACCCCAAGTGGTCATTCAAGTGGTCATCCAGTCATCAAGGAAGACCTTGAGTGAGGCAGAACTTATTTCTTCTGGAGGCAACCCATTCCACTTCTGGACAACTTCATGGAAGTTTTCCCTTACGTTGAATCTAAATCTGCTTCTTTGCCACTTCCACACATGATTCCTGTAGCTGTCCTATAAAATTAAAACAAGACATATCTACTTCCTCTTCCATCTTTCAGCCCTTCAGTTTCTTGGAGATAGTAATAGGAAGTCTTTCTTTCCTTGGATTTCCCATAGCAGTTTGTTTATGACTCTTTTACATGCTCAATCAAGTAGTATTTTGTATTATAGCTATTTATGTGTCATCATTTTATGATATTGTAAGCTCCATGAGGCCAGACACTGTGTTATATTTAATTGTAATATCCCATCTTGGCTCTTAGGATACTCTGACTAAATGAAATAAAATTATTTGTTGAGAAGGACTGTTGCATTTTCTTTAGGGAACATTATATTTTCAGATACTGAGCATATTCATTTTTTGCCATTATTTTGTGGGACTTAATGCAGACTGCTTAGTTAGATATTGACAATCTAGCAAATTTCACTCCTAACTTGATATTTAGATATTTACAGTTACTGAGTATTTGAACTGCTTATTCTTATATTCACATTAAGGTCTAAGTACCTGAGAAGGTTTTCTTAGGTGATTCTTTTAAAATATAAAGACCATTTTCCTGAAAAGAGTATAGGAAACCATTAAGTATTTCCAAAATTTTCACCTGGGGGAAAAAGAAATTGGATAAATGAAAATGCAAAAAAAAAGTACTTGTAGCTTTGTGGGGGTCATTGTAGCCTTTCCTAAATTATAATCTGTAAAAGCATCTTTATTACAAAAAGAGTAACTTGTATATTCTTTTGCATTTGCATAGTGGAAAATTTAAAGAAATCCTAGTGTTTTTATATGGTATGTCAAATTACCTTGTATTTATTTTATAAATACATATTTTTTTCACCAAAACAATGTTACTAAGGGCATTGCTAGGCCTTTTTAAAAATGTGATCACATTTGAATTCACCTTATGTAAGGAATTATACATGCATCAAGCATGCAATATTCCAAATGGACAATGACATTTTCTGTACACATGTATTCCTATAGGAATCATGCAAAAGAGATTTTATTTCTCTTGTCTTATGTTTACTACAATTACCAGAATAATTTCTAATACAGAGATAGTAAAGAGATGTTGCAACCAGGTTGGCTGTTCTAGAGAATGTTTGCTCTAAGCTAATTTCAGTGATCATATTTCACTCAGTTTCCAAGATGAACTCCTTTTGAAGCTGTCATAGGCTTTAAAACAAGAGCCTTACATTTTAAACATTCCAATATTCAGGAAAAGTTGGGACTACTCTTTATTAAATCCTTCATAGTCCTCCCATTTGTAAAAAATAAACAGGTTAGATGAAGAGAGGAATCCAGGGAAGAGAAAGACTTCAAGACTTGTGGAGAAAGTTTCTGCATAAATTTGAGCTATTAATATTGTAAAAGCATGAAAACTACTACACATGATGAAAAGTTTCATCAAGTCTTGTTTCCTGTCTTTGATAGTGGCACCATTTTGTTGAAAGGCTTTTGGGGGTTCAGCCTCAAAAATTTAGGAATGTCTTTTTCCTCTTCCCTTCAGCAGACAAAAAATTAATACATCATTTGATTCTTTTAAAAACTTATCGTAGATTACTCAATGGTCAGTGGGAAATTGGGTGGGAGAAACTAACACCATATGCATAAATTCAGTTAAGTTTGATGAGCATTTATTGAATGTTTACATATAGTAAGTACTTGGAAGAATGCTCTATCATCCATTCAGCAGGCAATTGTTGATGTACTGGAGGTCAGGAGAAAGATGGAACCTGGATATGAAAATTTGGGAGTCATCTGCATAGAAACAAATTGCACAGGAAAAGTAGTATGTAGAATATCATCAGAGAGATGTCTGACTTAAAAAAAGGGGTAGTATGGTCATCCAGTCAGAGTGAAAAATAGCTGACATACATCTCACTTTTTTTGTTATCTGTGAAATATCAAATCGAGAGGAAGACCCCCTCCCTTCCCAGTATGTGGGGTAGACACCTTGGGAAGTGGTGAAAAGACCCGGACTAGAGTTGAATATAATATATGCTTAGATGGATTGCCAACTGTACTACTGGATGGAGTAAATACATTATTGAAATATGGATGAATTTATCCATATCCATGAATATACTTAAAACTTTCTTAAACCTATTTGTATGTTCGGCCTGTGCCTATCCTCTCCAGGCTAAGAAATTCCATTTCTGCTGCTATGACATAAGAATTTCCATACCACATTAGGCTTATGGCATATCTAACGTAGTATTCTGTTGCTAGTGGAGGCCACAAGGGATGTTCTCTGGGAGGAGATGGTTATCCTACCTGTCCTCATCCTCAAGAGCTACTTTTGTTAGATGTTTATGACTTTGTCGTTCCTAAATTTGACCAAACAACCCTTTAAAAATCTGTTTTTGTTTACTGTCTATACAGTAAGTCTATACAGTCTACACAACTTCTTGGGGATAAAAGAGATTTTGAGTTTTTTTTTATATTCCAAGCTTATTTCATTTAAATTTTCAAGGATGTAAGGAAACATCCTGGGATTTTGGGATTTGGTAAATAAGTTTATATTATCCCAGGCCATCCATGACTATAAGTCTTTCCTTGTCTTTCTACTTTGGATTCCTTATCCTTTCATTTTGCCCTCATATAGCAGCCATACCTCCTTCTATCTCAGTCTTTTTAATTGCCCTGTTATTAATTTTCTCTAATTTCTATATATCTTTCTTTGGCTATAGCAAAAAAAAAAAAAATTGCATGTGGTGTTGCATAAGAGGAGGATTTTTTGTTTTGTTTTCAATATCTTTGCTTAAGCTGTTGATTTTGTATATGAGGTGGATAGAATTTATTTAGCACTTTTAAGGTTGTAAAATGTTTTATGTGTTATCTCCTTTGATTATCACAACTCTGTGAGGTAGGTACAAATATTATGCCCATTAAACAAATAAGAAAACTGAGGTTGAGAAAAGTTAAATGATTTGCCCAGAGTCACACAGCTGATAAGTGTTTGAGGCAGGATTCAAGTTTAAGTCTTCATGACTCCAAGTCTCTAATCATTGAACAACCTAGATTGTATTATATAATTTGAATTTGTTTTTATCTTTAAATACATGACTTATCCTTACCCACATTAAAACTCATCTATCCCATTTTTTGCCCTCTTGTGAGCTCTTTCTCTAACCTAACCCTAATGGCTAGGTCTTTTCTTTTTTGCCACCTAAAAGAATTCAATGACACTAGACGTGGTATTAAGAGCTATAATTTGTACTGGAGAAAAGAACTAAATAGTAATAATACAATAATAATATATTTTTATTTGTTTTTCCTAAGCACTGTCCCATTTACTGTTTCATCTTGTCCTTATGGCACCCTTCTGAAATTGTAAAATAGAATAGGCATTAGCATCTACATTTACAAGATGGGAAAATTGAGGCAAAGAGTGAACAAGCTATAAACCTAGTGTCCTACAACTCCTTAGTGATAGAGTTGATATGAGAACTGATATCTTTTGTCTTCAACCTACTCTAGTTGAATTCTATTCTTCCCCTTTCTAATCTGGAAGAAAAGGAAAGAAATGAGATTATCTTTTAACAAGTTTCCAAATTGAAAATCTCTTGAGAAACATTTCATCCTTCTTCTAAGTGTGACTTTACCATCCCAGAATCATATCAACAAGGATCACCAGTACATGCCTCTGATGTTGCATAAAAGGATATGGTACAATATAGATACGTATGATATAGATTGTGTTAATGTATACCACAAGTTTAGGAAGTGCTGAAATACACAACTTCCATCGTTTCACCAGTTTGATAGTAATTGTTAAAGAGAAAAGAGAATGCAGGACATATTGGGAATAGGAAGAAATCAAGTTTCATTGGATTTGAATGCATGGAAATGATTAATAAAATATTATAAGGTATTTTGGAAACTTACTTTGAAGGACCTTAAATGCTGGGCAATGGTTTAGCCTTTACTAGGGAGACAATGGTGAAGGGCACTTACACTGTTTTGTTGTCTATTCATCTATTCTTCCATCCATCCATTCATTTACATATTTATTCTTTAACATTATTTTTCTTAGGGTTAGAGTCAGTAGGAGAAGGATGCATGGAAGCTGAACTTCTTTGAGCTTTTTTGCTTAAAAGATTAATTGTTTATTAACAATTTTATGATGAAGTTTTCTTCAAAGATGTGCATATAAATCTAAGTAAGCAGCTAGTAAATGATCAAGTTAGGGGTGCTTATAATTACCTAAGGGGACTATATGAAGTTGAAAATGAATTGATAATAATTTCCTGATACCTTGTTTTATAGCATCCAGATGAGAAGAGACTGGAAGGTCTTTCCAAGCAGTTAGACTGGGATGTTCGCAGTATCCAGCGCTGGTTTCGACAGAGACGCAACCAGGAGAAGCCTAGCACTCTTACTAGGTTCTGTGAGAGCATGTAAGTAGTTCTTCTTCCATGGTGCTCTGGAAGATATTTCTTAGGGGAACTTTTAAAAACCATTTTTTTCACCTTCTAGGGAGCCTCTCTAATTTCATACTTAAGTTCAATTCAGTCTGACAGATATTTATTAAGCACTCGCTATACGTAATAGGTTCACTCCATTTACAGCTTCTTAGAAAGAAAAACCATCCAGTAAATATTAATGGCTTATCCAGAAAAAAAAAAATACAAGCTAGAGTAGATTGGAAGAATGTCTAAGCTAAACATTGAAAGCATTGAATCCATTTTTAGGTGCTTAATAAATGCTTATTGATTAATTAGTGGAGTGACTCAAAACAGAAGAAAGTGACCCAAGTGTCAGTGACTAATTCTCTGGTTGTCTGTATCTTGAAATGGAGTGAATTAAATTTTTTTGGAGAAAGGAAGGGGGTGATAAACTACACCTTATATTGCAATGGAAGAGATCTAATTTAGAGAAGAGAAACAAATTCTTGATCAGAAGAGTTGTGAAATGTTGGGACCTAATAAATTCACTGGAGGTTGTAGCATCCTGTTCTCTGGAGAATTTAAGGAAAGGATAGATAACCATCTTTTTGGGGTGGGTTGAGTTTGATGTTGCCAGGAGGTGTGGATGGGCTATATGGCTTTTAAAGGTTCACTTTGGCTCCGTGATTTTTATGATGTGCTCAAATCCAAGAAACTATTATCTCACAGAAAATATAGAAATGAGAAAGAAGAGTTAAGGCATCCAATCTGTTCACTGACAAGGAAAAGATTTCTGTCTATAGTAAAGTTACCAAGTTTAGTCTTTAATTGCAGTGAAGTTTGTTCCACTCCTATGAGATACTACAGTTTTTTACTCAATTCTCTCTTTGGAGAACTTTCCCCTTTACTTGATAATTTAAACAAGAGTTCTATCAGTTCCAACTCTAGTTAGAGAGAAGCACTTTCCATTTTGAGTCTGAGAGGCCTTTTCATACTGACAGGTTTTGGTACCCCAAAGTTTGTCTTTCAATTATGCCAGAAAAAGCATTTTATAGTTGAAATCTAATGCTTCAAGTGAAATTTAATTTAAGGAAAAATGAATGAGAAGCACATTAATACAACAATAGTCCTAGGGTTGGAACCATAGACTCCTCCCTACCATTTTTTTTAGTACACATGTTGTTTATTTTCTCTCAATTACACGTAACCAAAAACTTTTTAATGTTCATTTTTTAAGATTTTGAGTTCCAAATTTTCTCCCTCCCTTCCCTAACCCCTCCTTGAAACGGCAGACTATTTGATAAAAATTATATATGTGCAGTCATGCAAAACATTTCCACATTAGCCATGGTGCAAAAGAAAATACAAACAAACGAACAACCCAAACCCAAGAATAATAAATAAAGCGAAAAAAAGGTATGCTTTAGTCTGCATTAAGACTTCATCAATTCTTTCTCTGGAGGTAGATAGCATTGTTCATTGTAAATCCTTCAAATTATTGTGTTGCTAAGAATAGCTCAGCCATCCACAGTTGATCATCATACAGTATTGCTGTCACCGTGTACAGTGTTCTTCTGGTTCTGCTCATTTCACTTTGCATCAATTAATGTCTTTCCAGGTTTTTCTGAAAGCATTGTGTTCATCATTTCTTATAGCCCAGTAGTAGTCCATCACAATCATATACCACAACTTGTTCAGCCATTCCCCAATTGATGGACATCCCCTCAATTTCCAATTCTTTGCCAACACAAAAAGAGCTGCTATAAACATTTTGTACATTTTGTACATTTGTACATCCTTTCCTTTTTCTTTGATCTCTTCAGACTCCTTCCTATCTTGAGTGGTTTGGAAGGGTCTCTGAGAAGTCAGAATGGTTAGAAGCTCCAGAAAAGCAACATAGTAAACATAATACCCAGAATCCTTCTTATAATTAGAGTTAGGGGTAGTTAATTCTCAAGGGAGGGTTTGTCTATCTCTGTTGATCAGACTCAAGAACTCCTTGCCTATTCTCCTCCTTCCCCCTCTCCTCCATGATGCAGGCTCAGGAAGTCCTGCTTTCTGCTTAAGTGTTTAGTAACTAGAGTATCTACTAGCATTATCACACTAATATTATATTTAGATTATTTGGGTTGGGTCTTGTGTACTTGAGTATGTATCATTTCTTCCTATTGCATTTATGTGTTCCCTCCCTTTCTCCAACTTTTAGCTACCTTGAGTATATAGACTCTGTGAACCATATTTTTTCTTGCTACTAAAATATTTACACTCTGCCTCCCAACCTTTTGTTTCCCTTATCAGATCTCAATATCTACTAGTACCCACAAAGCCTTTTGTCACTTCCTTTTAGACCTTTATTCCTATCCAGAGAACCCCTCTAGTCATGAGATCATAGATTCAAAGCTGACCAGCCTAGACTCTGAGGCCCTGGGAGGTTATGACTTTCCAGGGTCACATAGGTAGTAAGGATCAGAGGAGATATTTCATCCCAAGTCTTCTGACTCCAGAACCAATGCTCTTTCCTCAATTTCATGCCCCTTGTTCTACCTTAGTCAACTTCTTTATTATTCTCTGCTCCTGTGTTCTGTGATACCCTCCTCCCCACTTATTCTCAACCTTTTCTTTACCTCCTTCTATATTCTCACTTTAAGTGATACCCTTATGTCTTCTGATACTCTCTTCAATGGGAGCCTTGCTTTCTACCAGGACCCTATACAAGTTATCAGCAGGGATCAGCTGTCTTCTTACCCTTCCATTCATTTCTAGATCACTGATCTGTCACCATACCTCTCTTTTTTTTAAATTTTAAATCTCTGCTGCCTGGTTATGCTATTACCTCCAAATCTTCTATGCTATTCATCTATCAGGCTCTAAGAACATTATGGACTTAAGTACCATGTGTATGTATGTACATATATATATATGTTTTCCCTCTCTCTATTCTTGTAAAGATCCTTGATGATTTCTATATTGATAATCCATCTGAATCTCAAAGGAGCTTACCTTTCTGAATTCCATTGACCATCTGCAGGCAATATCAATCTTGATCTGAATGGACCCATCCCAGCTTTTGTCATTAATTAGTCAATCAACTACGTATTGAGCCCCTTTGGTATACAGGATACTGTACTAGGTAGTACAGGAGAAACAAAGAAGTACATGGTTCCATTCCTTAAGAAACTTACATAATCTAGTTGAAGAGATAAGACATAACACAATGTTTAAGGATATTACTAAACAATATAGGGCAATAGTAGTATGGACAATAAAGATTGTAAGAATTCAGAAGAAGGAAAAAGCAATGTGGGCTGGGTATGGTAATGGTCCGGGAAGGCTTTTCTGAGGAGTTGAGACTTGAGCTTTACAGGATGAGTGGGATTCAGATAAGGAACACTCTGTGTGGAAGAGAACAATGTAAGAAGAAAAAGACAGAGTCAGGTAAGGCTCATTTCAAGGATAATGATTCTACCAATCTTACTCTAGCATGGTACTATTCTATTCGTCTGCAAGATCTCCATTTTGGTGCTGTTCTAGGACCACAGCCTCTTTATTAGTCACTTTTGTTTTTAGGCAATTGGGGTTAAGTGACTTGTCCAGGGTCACACAGCTAGTAAGTGTCAAGTGTTTGGTCTGAGGCCAGATTTGAACTCAGGTCCTCCTTACTCCAGGGCCAGTGCTCTATCCACTGCACCACCTGGCTGGCCCCTAGTCACTTCTTCCTCACCACACCCTCTTGGTCTCTTCACCTTCACTAGATTTCACAGATACACTGGAAAATCTAGTTGTTTGACTTCTTCCAATTCATGTACTTTGGCTATAGCTCTCTCCAACTACAGGTTATTCCTTGCCTGTCCTGCCTGTTCTCAGCCACTTCAATTCTTCCTTCCTTAATACATTAGACTTATTATCTGTCTTGACCTCTGACAGGTACCTGATAGTACCAGTTCCCAACTCAGGATCATTCCCGTTCATCAGTTTCTCTGCTGCTGATTAGGTGGCAGAACATTCCTTGAGAACATCAGAGAATTATGCAAAATTCTTTTCTTCCTCCTAGAAATCCTTGCTTGTTAATCTGCTTTTTAACTTGAACTCGACCCTCATTGCTTTTTTGTAATCCTTTTCATATTGTGTTGAATTCCCTAGAATACTTCCCCAAATAGCTATTTCAAACCTTCAGTCTTCTTAAGTACCAAGTTTTCTTCATCCCTTTTAGTATCATTTCTCCAATGAATCTTCCAAAGAATGAATCTTCTTTTACTTATGAAAATTCTCCTTAACACCGTGCAACCTGGTTTCAACCCCTATTTTGCTCTATTAAAGCTGCATTATTGTAGGTCTCCACTAACCTTTTTCTCTCAAGTCCAATTTTTTTTCTCAGTTTTGATTTTATTTGACCTGTCTAGATGAGTGAGAAGTGGTACAGTGTATAGAGTACTGAGCCTGTAGTTAGGAACACCTAAGTTCAAATCCAGTCTCAATCACTTACTAGCTTTGTGTCCCCTGGGAAAGTTACTTAACCTCAGTTTGCCTTAGTTTCACCAACTATAAAAATAAGGATAATAACACCTACCTTGCAGGGTTGTTGTGAAGATCAAATGAGATAATATTTATAAAGCACTTAGTACAGTGCTTGGCACACAATAGATACTATGTAAATGCTTATTCCCTCCCCTTATCTCCTTTCCACTTGCCAGGTTTGACCACATCCTTTTTCTTGAAACCTTTCTCTTCCTTAGCCTCTATGACATGATCATATCCTATTTTCTCCTACTTTTCTGATTCTTCCTTCCTTGTTTGCTTCACTGTCGTCCTTCTGTCTGTTAGTTGTGGTCGTTCTCCTAAAGGCTGCCTCTTACTTTTTGTTGCTTTTATTCTGTATAGCCCAATGTATAAAAGTCATTCATTCTCATAATTGCAAATATAATTCATATGCAGATTACTCCGAGTGAGTTAGTTCACAGCATCTCTCTTCAACTCCTCGATCAAGTGGTTATTTTTAACATTTCCTCCTCTTC